CCCCCCCCCCCCCCCCCTTTATTTCAACAGTTTGGAAATTAGATGAAGCATATGTAAGTACAAGGAGATAGCTGTCAGTTGTGACTGAGCTCTTGGCTGTCCTAAAAGTAAATAAATCTCTAACATCCCCTCCTTCCTTAAAGCACAAAAGATTAAAGTTCAAAAATAACACTAAAAATTCAAGGGAGATCCACAGAGTTCCTAGTTGTATTTCAATCCTTTCTGTCCTATCTCCCTTGAAGTTACTGTAAAAACAAAAAAAAACCCCAAACAACCCACCCCCAAAACCAAACCACACAAAATAAACATCTTTTAACATTCAAGACATTCTTTAAAACCTATACTGGTTTTATCTTTTTTAACATGGTGTTTTAGATTCCACTTCCCCCACCCCTATAGGTTTTTTTAATATAAACTTGATATTAAAATCCATAAAAACTACACCCAAGACCAACCAATCAACCCACCCCAAACTAAGTCCACCAGGGCTTAAAAGGGACTCAGTCATACATGACAGATATTAAACATAAAAAAAGTACAGAAGTTCAATAAACAAACATCCATACACTATCCCATAGTAAATAACTACTGTGAGCACCGTAAGACAAAGCTGCATGTGCACTTAAAGATGAAGCACAAAGAACACTGGAACACTTAATACACAGTTCCCCTATCAAATTTATAGGCTCCAATCTAGGGAGAATGGACAAAAGGGAACAGTTTAGTAGCAAAAAGTTTCCTTTCCCAGAACAGGTACCTCGATCACTACCATAGTACTGCATGATGAAGTGCATAACTCACATGGTCTACAGAAGTATATTAAAGCCTCACCTAACAGCAGAATCATGCCCTCTTTAGATATTTCTCCTACTGTAAGTATTACTGATGTATTATTTGAATAGTTCACACAGGTTCCACTTAAGTCTTACCTTCTTCATTATCACTGTACTGGTCAGAATCATTATTTCCATTCTCTCTGGTGCTCTCAGCAGTTGAAGAAATCACTGGGAGAGACACAGGTGTCTTCAGTTCTGGACCTTGCTCCATCAGTTTCAACAGTTTTTTCTCATAAAGTTTCCTAGTAGTAGCTATAACAAGGAAGGATACAAGCTAAAGATACAGCTTTCATCTTTCCCGACTTGACTGTTAGAACTTGGCTGTTATATATTCCTTGGGAATCTCTGAACATATGTTTTTTATTTTTAATCCATCTGTAAGTCCAAAAGCATAATACCTCTAGGTATGTAATTCTACCTTTAAGGCTTCTAAACTTTCTGGTTTGAGAGAATTCTCAAGATAAACTTAGACCTTTTAGCATACTGAATGTTACAAGTATTTATCTATGGAAAGGGAATTTACCTGCTGCTTAGATGTTTTGTTTCATATATTGCAATACACAAGTTATGCCCTTACAAAGAGGGCATAACAGACCTTCCTGTTTGCTACTTGTTTGATCTAAGAGGACAGCTGTTTAAAACTAAAAGGTAGCAAGTCTAGCACATTCTTCCATGTCAGGACTGTGCTGGCAAAATTCTGTAGAGGTGACCAGTGCCTGAGCTGTTAGCTGCAGAAAAGCCTAACCTTAGAAGATTTCAGGTAAGAGGAAGTGACTCTTAAAATAAGTGGCAGACTCCCACAAGAAACAGAATCCATACCCTGTAAGAACCAAGGCATTTACTTAGGCCAAATCCTAACAGCCTTCCAGCAGACTGCATAGGTACTTGAATTTTTCAGAAACCTGAGTGCTATCCAAGAGGACTAGGTTGAATGGGAAGGCATACAGAAACAGCCAACAAAAAGTATTATGCATAAGACTTTGAATACACACAGGACTTCAGGCTCCATCACTGACACTTCCATCCACCCAGGATTTCAAGAATGTTCCACAGAAGGCTCAGCACACTAGAGGCAACCATCTTTTTTTGAAGAGTTGTGAAATCAAAGTCCTTTGCCATTAGGCTAGTGCACAGGTCTGAAAGGCAAGGAGCTTTGATTTCACATCACAGATGAGTGCCTAAGGCAGGAGATTAAACTGGGGTCAGGAATTCTGACATGGGTTAAGCATGCAGGATAGAATGCTAGGTTCAGGGGACCAGGAAAAAAAAATTAAAAAAAAAAAAATCAAAGGAAAACATTAGTGCACAATGCAGTGAGTGGGAAATGCTCTAGGGAAGGGGAAGGTCCATGTTCTTATCCTGCTCTCAATGTTATTAAGCTTATTATGTAAAATGTACTTTCTATTTAGCCAGGCCCCAGATCTCAACCTCTGTATCAAAGACCTAATTATCCCAGCACTGAGCTTTAACTAACAGTTAGACAGCATCAGAACAGAAGTTGGAACATGTCCAGCTGGCCTAGAACACAAGAAAAACAAACTGTGGACTTACACTGCAATGCTTCAGGTCTTCTCAATGTATACAGTTCAATGAAAGCATCAGAAGTGGGAAGTAGGACTGCAACATTATTGATACTATACTTAATAAACAACTGTATCAGAGAAACTTAGAGCACTCAGAACAGAGGTTTAGTGATAAATATATTGAACAGATGAACATTTGCTAGTTCAGTTGACTTACCTACAATTGGGCCAGGATTTAGTCCATACTTCACAAGTTGCTCTTGAAGATCCTCATTACTCATCTCTGTTACATCTAGGTCATCCTTCTCCTCTGGCCTGGGTTTGTCAGTTTTCTTTGTAGCTTTCTGTGAGCATGCAAGGGAGAAACAAGAGACAGAATATTTCCAGTTAATACAGGACACATTTTTCTTCTAAAGGAACAGGAAGATAAAAGAGTCCTAAACACACAAAACCAGAAAAAGTCAATATAAATCTCCCCTACAAGCACCACAGCCTACGTGAAACCTACTAAGCAAACATGCAAAGTTTCCTACTTATGTAAGAGTATACCCATTACAGGCCTCCTCTACAGCGATCCTGTGTCTTAATTTGAAGTTCAAATATATAAAAGGAGAGGATTACTTCTTTCCTATGACTGGAGAGGTAAGCTTCTAGCCATTTCACTATGACTGCACTAAGCTACAAATATTTGTGTTCCACTGACATTTCTTCATGTTATTCTTCTACCTAGTAGGTCAACACTTCTTCCCCTAAAGGTATGGAAGTTCTTCAGTACCCACATCATCTCAACCAACTTCCCCAAATCCCCATTCCCAATTATCCTGGTGTTCTCTGTAAGATTACAAGATGTTACAAAATGAGTGCAGGAAAAGCAAAGCCAGAAACACCCTCAAGTTTTCAAAATCCTGTCTGTTTAGGCCTCTGCTAGTGTTGTTCTAAAAAATCCTAAACCCAACCCTGGCAACACTACTTGAACAGTTGGCAACACACCACAACCACATACAGATGGTTATCAAAATAATCTGTCAAGATGCTACTCCTAAGTTAGCAGCTTCCACTATATCCAAAGAGAGTGATCATAACATTTGCTCAACTTGGGAGGCCTTTGTTACTACAATAGGCATTTCAAGCTCCAAGATCTGCAAGAGTGAGAGGTAAGACAGCAAAAATATGCTTAGGATCTGCTTGTTCTCAACTAAGAAAGATCTTGATACTGCTTTGAAATAAGTCATATCTGTATCTCAAAGTTGTAGGATGTAAACAGATACAGCTTCTACACTTATAACATTTTTCTCAACTTTGTTGCCCAGATGAACTTACCTGGGTTTTCTGGTACTAACCAAAGACTAAAATTCCAAATAAATATATATTGTAATACTGTCACAATTAATAGTTTTTTCTTGTTATATGTAGTAAGACAGCACTAAAAGACTGTAAGATGAGTGACATGAATCAACAGTATCTAGTTAGCCATTAATGCCAGTTCAATATTGGTTCATACACAACTTAGTATTGCCTCAAGTGTCTTGGCATTTAAAGCTAAACTGGGACTGCATGAGGTTTTCCCAAATATAACTGACCCCCTAGTTAAATTAGATTTTCCTCTAACTCCCGGATTGTGAAAATCCCAGCATGATGCAGCTGCTGAAAAACACACAATCTAAGAACTCATGCTATTTCTTAACTCTAAGAAATAGACTCCACACAGTGTGAAGAAAGGATAGGATCACTAAAGTGGCAGATTTGACTAATGAGATTTACAACTCACTTTATCAATCATTCCATTTCTTTATCACATAAAAATCTAATTAATTTTTGAAGGAACTGAGCCTATTTATGTTGTACACAAAAAATGACCAACCTGCAGCTATAGGAGACTTGTATTTACTTTTGAATGTGTTGGCCATAACACTATTTCAAGTTAAGTATCACATTAACAAGAATCTCACATTCAGTGCATTTTTTCTTTTTCTGAACTACTGAACTGTCCAAACTGTGAAAGAGATTTCTAAAACACATGCTGGGTTTTCTTGCTGGGGGATCTGTTTAGACTATTGACAGCTGTGGTGTTTACACACTTCACCAAGCAGATTAACTAAAATACTACTTCCATATTTCAGAAGAAAACTACCACCATGGTGCAGGAAATCAACACCCCAATGGCACTTTAAATAAACTGGAAACATAATTTAATGTATCTCTGCCTTTGTATAGCACTTAGAGGCCACAGAAAAGACTATAACAATATACACCAGAAGAACCCAGTACTCTACTAGACATTTTACAGAAATCTGAACTACCAGAAATCTAACTACAACTAACGAGTAATATGGTCCTCTAACACAAGTAAACTCACACAGCTCATAGTATCAGTGGTACTTTTTTTTTCTTCCAAGTACCATTTCACTTTTTACTGCAGTATTACCCACATTGAGACCATCAGAATAGTCAGTTTCTGCAGAGAAAAATGTCAGGGAGGGGATGAAAAGTTGCAGGTAATCCATGTTCTTCCATAATATATCCAGATACGTTGATTACTTTGTGTTCTGTGAGGTCTTCAAATTTTACTTTTGAATAACTATTCTCCTTAAAACAGAAGTAAATTACTTCACTTGTACAAGTAGAAAGCTGCCACTTAACTGCTCACTGGACCACAAGATCCATCCCTAGAAGCATAAGGCAGGAAAGAAGAATTTCTTTCATACCTTGGTCATGGTATGACAGCATTAACCTCAGCAATGTTAGCTTTAATTACCACTACTATTACAGTACAAAGCACCACTATATTTTCTGTGCAACATCTCAACTTATCCATGGGACTGCCCCATGGGACAGATGAAGAGAGCTAGCTTTAAAATTTGTCACTGAAAATTAAAATAAAAACAACAAAAAGCCCCCCAAAACACTTCCACATTTGCCTGGTCTGGTGACCACTAGTAAGTCTTACTGTGGTGCAGAGGTGATGTGCTTAAAATGAAATTGTGGCGAACACCAGGATTTGCCGAAGTAAGGTGGTACAGCACATAATGTAAATATTCTTGCAACACTATACCTAGACCAATAAATCCTTATCTGAATAATCTAATTCCATCCAAAGCTAGCAGCATTAAAAACAAATATTTCTAGTCATTGCCATTTTCTAGGAAACAGAAGGTGGAACAGGATCTAAATACTTCACTTGAGATTTGTTCACACCAAAGAGATGTCAATTTGGTAGTGGTATCTGTCAGGTTGTTTCAGATTAACTAGGACCCAACCCTTCACACAAGTGCTGGTGAATTATAAACATGGGGCTCCCACACAGCATTCTGAGTTATAGAGCCACAGGAAAAAAAGAGCATGAGAAGTTCATCTTCTCAGAACGTCAGCCCTCCACAGCAAAAAGCTTTCACTAATGAGTGGAGCAGAAAATGCAAGTGATGAGAATTCAGACCTGGAAACTATCCCTTACCTCATCTTTTGCATTCCTGCTGAATAGAAATCCAACAGCCACAGACCAGTTTTCAGACAAACTTCACACATAGCTTTACTAGTTCTAGCACTACTCCAAAGAAAAGCATAACACCTTGAAGAAGCCATTAAATAACGTAACAGACAACTATAAGATATCATCAGAAGACACATTTTCAAATCCCAAATTAAATGACACCTACACTAGGTTAGTCAAGGACTTTAATCCCAGGCAGGTGCAGCTTCATCACTAGAAGCAGAAAGGCTCAGAGCTTCTTTAATGTTTCTCTGAATGAGGTTAAGACAAGCTAAGAAAGCCCAAATCACGCAAACAGAATGCTCTTTAATTCTCCAGTTTGGACAGTGTTGTCTCTGGTAACAAGTAACTGTATTTCTCTTCGGGGAGAGAAAGATAAGAAACTGCACATGCCAAGTCTCAATAATAGACTTAAACTGCGAAACAGAGGTCTCTGTTCCCCTTGCACTTTTTATTCTATCATAGACAAACATTTCCTGCAGTAGAAGTTTTTGTTTTTTGAAAACTAAGTCCTACTGAACTTTTTAACCTCAAATGCTTTGAGACAATATTTAACAAAAACTACAGGACAGACAAAATAAACCATGGAAAGCAAATTATGCAGCAGTAACTCAGAGATACTGATACACACGACTTTTAAGAATTCTCTACCTTTTAACCTTACTAAGTGCCAGACTTAATTTCCAAGCCTACTACTCAACCCTTCTACCCCTCCTCTGCCCAGACACTAAATTCCATGTTACTCAGGTGAAGGGAAATGTACCCACTCTGAAAACGAGATAGTTTCCAGACAACCTAAGAGTAAAAAAAAAATCACAACAAAAAACAAATCAAGAAACCAAACTAACAGATGGTCACATGGCTTATTCAACTGAACTGCTGACCTGGAGATCTGGCTTGTATGTGTTCTGCTGAACAACTGACATGCATCACTAGACAAAAATTACTTAGATGGGATTATTTTATTTAAATATAACTGCCATTATTACACCAGCACTCTAACGGGCATGTCTCCCTAGTTCATGAAAGTGCAGAACAGCATGGCAGGACTTCTCACCGCAGCAGGAATTACTCAGTCACCTCACCCTATTGCCCACAGCTGTCACTCAGACAGCAGATGAGTGCCATTTAAAAGGCCACAATGGTGCTAATCTGTATTCTGGGTCACTTTTGTACAGCACATCATAATGAAGAAATACAGCCACACAGGGAACACTGAATAGATTCTCTTCCTTCACCGGGTAGCATATATGCTTTACATTCTCTCGCCTGTCCGAGTGTGCAGTTTCACCTTCCACACTCCTAATCCTCATAAACTACCAGTTTTACTATTACCTTCCTTTTTTCTCAGAGCAAAGGGGTTGAAACCATACAGATAACTCAGCTACAGATATTATCACTACCACACCATTCTGGCCACAAAGAGCTGAAGCTAGCTCTTAATTTACTTGGCTACTTGATTAAAACAAAACAACATCTTTACCGGACAGATCTTTCCTATAACCTTTCAAACAGGCCCTTCAGGTCCAGATGATCTCATTATACCTTCATTAACAAAATGAAGAGACATCTGACTGATCTTTTTCAAATCATCACCTTAAAGATCAAAAATATCACTCAGTGTATTCTAAAGAAATTCTTCCCGGACATGAAATGCACCAATAAACAAAGTCATAAAAACATACACATTCTGAGCTCTGAACAGCTCCTGTTTGGCAACACTGTCAAGATGATATTCTTGGTATGTGCTTTAAAACAATGTTCCTCAAGGGGCAAAAAATGCCATTTTATAGTTATTTTTGCTTTGAGCTATCTGTCCTGATATTCAGCCTGTAACTAACCAGGACCATCCAGATG